AAGAGTAATTAAGAAACACAAATGTTAGGTAAACTGCCTTACTTGTTATACTAAAAAAGTCAAAGATAACTTTAAGAGACTATTCTAGTTAATCTTTTGCTGAGGAAGTCTAGTTTTTTTTTTAATCACCCATTCACTGGGTACGAAGGTTAAAACAAAGTGAAATGCAATCATATGACATACTTTTTAAAAATGGTGTAGAAGAAACTGAATAAACTGCTTCAGCACACCAGTCTCAAACGAAAGAAAAAAGTAAAGGTAAGCTCCTATATATTTACATGTTTAAGACTGTTGTTGAATTTTTTTAAGAAAATAAATCATACTTAAGCTTGTAAAGTCTGTACAATCTTCGCCTTTAATAAGTGATGAAGGAGCAGAAAGTATGATTACATTTTCACACGGTCTATCTCAGAAATAATACACACCTAAGACATGGACAAAGAATCTTTCCCAAATAAAGTTATGCTATACAAGTCATTATTTTTCTTTTGAGGAAAAAAGGGTTTTTTCTAGCCAATCAAATTTATAAGATTTTCTATTTTGAAATATGTTAATCACAGAACATTCTGAAGTGATATTAACCTAAAAACAAATTGACAAGATGAAGAAAAGAATGGCCACTAATTGATAATTGTTGAAGCTGGGCGATTATTCCCCTTACTTAGGATTTTTTTCTTGAAATTTTCCATTATAAAAAGTTTCTAAATTTTCAAAAAAAATCTATAATGGTCAAGTACAGGAGTGAAGTTAATTGTGAATCATTAACATCTTACTCTAAATATACCGAGTTCTGGTATAAATAAAGTATGTAATGGTAAAACTACACATAGATTTTATTTAACAAAACCAAAAAGACTACAGTATCTTTTTATTTTAAAGCATATAATAATCATACAAAGTAAATAACCAAAAGCTCCTAAGAAACTCATACTTCAAATTCCATTAAGAACACTATTTCCTTTTTAATATCTACCATTTCCTTTGTATAAAGCTCTTTTTTTTTCCTGTAATGTAGGTTATAGGCTGTGTAAAAGGGCATTTAATTTTGTGAAATAACTAAAAGAAACTGATATTCCATTGTTTTCTACTTTTATTCCTAAGTAATCACTAAATTGAAACTCAAATATCATTTCAAAATAAATTTCAAGTTGAGAAAAAGTTCCAAAAGGAGAAAAAGGCAAAAATAAACTGTCTTCATTTAAATCAACTTTTTGAATAAGGTACACTGACTAATGAACAATTTCTGCCTAATCTACTGGCTAGCTTTCCTACCAATCTGATTTTTTTAAAGACAGCTGATAATGCTAACAAATGCTTTTGTCTAGAAATTTATTCAGTGTCATAATGGTCAGCATTCACCCCCTTTCTCAATCTTTCTCCTCTCAAAAGACACAAAATATGTGAAAACCACCATGGACGGTGTGGATCAATTCAGTGTATTTCAAAGCTTTAGATGTAATGTTTTAGTTTGTTAAGTGCTTTCTTGCACAGACTCTACCTTGAGCTGAGTATACACTGCTTTTAATTCTAAAATTTATCAAGTGGAAAGAAGAAATTTATCAAGTAGAAATTGTAAGGATTAGAAAACATCCTTTTCTAATCCTTATAATTTTATTT